TGGTGTCTGGAGTGCGGGGGGGGGGGGGGGGGGGGGGGGGGGGGGGCCGAGACCAACTGAGGTTCTATCCTGGATGAAGGTCATTTTATTAATAAAGCCAAGAAAATAAGTGGGAGCCGCAGGTTTAAGGGGGGCGGGGGAAGTAAGTAATGGGCTTGGTTTAGGAGACGTTTAAGGTTGTGGTTTATGCGGTTGGAGGAGCTGTTGTTGAGTTAGAACATTTAGTGTAAGAACCATCAGGGTGTTAGAAAACGTGGACAGAGAATAACTAGGGTATCCGACCCAGGGTGTAGATGAGCTGCCCACGGCCTAGAAAAGTTTGGATGTCAAGGAATTCCCCATGGGTAAAGAGGAGGTACCATAGGTGTAGATGCGCCCACCCCCCGCCCACCCCTCACCCCCCACTCCAATGGGAGCAGAGGGAGTGCACCCACTGGGTGTGGAGGAGCTCTCCAAGGTGAAGATATGGTATAAATGAGGTCATACTGGCTGCAGCGGGCTCCCAGGTATAGATTCGTCTAAAGGTCAAGGTCATTCCCTCTGTCTGGTCCTACCTCCTGGCTACAATGTGGTTGTGACCACTATAGCCACAGCAGCCACCCTGGACCATGAAGCATGGAAGTCAAGCACTCAATGTATTTGGAGGAGCCCGGGTACCTGAGGACCTAGTGGCACAGAGCCAGCATACCAGCCCTGCCCTGCTCTGCCTGCCTTTTTATGTTTGAGAAAAATAAACAGTTCTGTTGAAGCCACTGTTATTTTGAGTTTTTCTACAGACTCCCACCGAATCTCATCTTAATGTGCTTATCATCTGTGTGCACTTGGGCATCTTCCTCTTTCAGCCTCATCAAACTGGCCCAATAGTGTAACAGCAAAGGGGTGAAAGCAGCCAAATCACCATCAGCCGGGCCCTGTCTGAAGCAGCAGTGGTACATCTGCACAGTGGGTACTATGCAGCTGTACAAGGAATTGAGAGCTGGCTCTAAATTGCTTTAGAAATGGTTACCTCTGGGTAAAGAACAAGCTGCCAGGAAAAGGGGTGGAAACTTCACTTCTCTGAATGTTCTTATAGTACCGATTTGACTTTAGAGTTTACACAATTATAAACCAAAAGCAATGTCAAAGCAAAAAGCAAAATGAAATTAGCCTTAACTATCCAGTCAGAAGCCTAACCACATGGAAAGGAATTACTTCAAGTGACCTTAAAACACAATAAAGTGATTGTATAATCCCTCGCCCTAAGGACAAAAAAACGGTTTAGATTATTTTCACTAATCCTATCCTTGGCGATGGTGTCAGCATTGTTATGCTGATACTGTCCTGTTCGTGTCCTGAGATGAAGCAAAAAGTATTGGCATGGTTGAGAACTGGGATTTTTAGCATGGGAGAAAGGAGATGCAAATATAGGATTGGTGAGGTTAAATAGAAATTGTGTAGTCCTTGGGAATTCCCTGGCAGTCCAGTGGTTGGGACTCCATGCTTTCACTGCTGAAGGTGTGGGTTCGTTCCCTGGTTGGGGAACTAAGATCCCGCCAGCCACGTGGTGTGGCCAGAAAAAGAAACGGAAAGAAAAAGAAATTGTGTAGTCCTGAACTTGAATTGAAAGTATCAGTATGCGCTCATGGCGAATTAAAAAAAAAAAACAAAACAAAAAAAGGTTTCCTTCTGTCCACTGAAAATGCTTAGAAATAATAACTAATAGAAGTGAGCACCACCAACTCCCAGACTGTGGTTTCTAAATACCTTTTCTCACTAAAGAGAATTGAGGTCCCTTTGAGAAATGGTTGATCCCAGTGAGAGTTGGCAGGGAGCATGGACGTACACAATATAAGCTGGTAGGGCTGTGTCAGACTCAGCAGCCAACTTGGAGAAGCCCCTATAAATATGGGCCACTTTTAGCATCAGTGAGGATAACTGCAAAGAATATAAAGTAGTTCCCTACCCCACCCCCCACATCTGCAGTTTCGCTTTCTGAGGTTTCAGTTACCGACAGTCAACCTTGGTCCGAAAATATTAAACGGAAAATTCCAGAAACAATTCATAAGTTCTAAATTGTGCACTGTCCTGAGTAGCATGATGGAATTTTGCTCCGTCCTGCTCAGTCCTGCCCAGGACGTGAATCGTCCCTTTGTCCAGCTTATCCACGCTGTATATGCTACCTGCCTGTTAGTCACTTAGTAGGCAACTGGGTCATCAGATCAACTGTCGCGGTATCGTAGCCCCTGGGTATAGGGTTTGATACTGTCTGCAGTTTCAGGCATCCACTGGGGGGTCTTGGAACGTGTCCCCCATTGATGAGGGGGGAGTACGGTAAACACTAAATATGTTCAAATCCGTGAGTTCATGATGAATGGTATATATAAAACAAACTCACGGATCTCTTTGGAGGGGTGATCGGCAAAACCTCATCATTTGAAACTGGCAAATATAGGGGGAAAAATGAAGCATTACCCTGCCTTTCCTACATGAAATGTTTTGCTTTACAACAGTATTACAGCCAGTATAAGGTGTTACCAGGTTACAACCCTTGATGAAATAGTAGATCCAGGCAATGACCATTCATGAATGCCAACATTACCGAAAATAGAAAGAAAACACGAAAAGGAACGACCAGGTATTCTGAGCCTCCTGATAAGCAAACACTTCACCTCCTATGAAATAGTCTTGCCAAAAAATTGAACCCGAAACTGATGAGCCTCCAGACCAGCGCTGCCCAATAGAAATATGTGAGTCACCTGTGTAATTTAGAATATTCTAATAACTACATTCTTTATTTAGAGGTGTGTTGGGTTTTTGTTTCTTTTTCTTAGAGGTTTTTTTTTTTCTTTTTCTTTCTTTGTTTTTGGCCATGCCACGCGGCTTATGGGATCTTAGTTCCCCAACCAGGGATTGAACCCGGGCCGTCAGCAGTGAAAGCGTGGAGTCTGAACCACTGGACTGCCAGGGAATTCCCTAGTAGCTACATTTTAAAAAGGGAAAAGAAACAGATGAAATTTATCTTAATATTTTAACTCAATATATGCAAAGCATTACCATTTCAACATGCTATCAATATAAAAATCGTTATTAATGAGATAGTTTACTTCTGTTTTTTTCTACTAAACCTTTAAAAAAATCCAATTTATATTTTATAGCGCTTTTCAATTTGGACTGGCCACATTTCAAGTGCTCAGTAGCCACGTGTGGCAAGTGGCTACCACACTGGACAGTGCACGTTTAGGATCTATTTACAATTTACAGGAAATACAGGGCACAGAAGAACGTGTTAGGACATTATGGGTATGCATTCAGCAAAAGCCAGATTGAGGCTCTGTAAGGCACATTATTTGGTTTCGTCAAACTGTAAGTGGGAAAAAAAAAAAAAAAACAGATGGAGGGGGGATCCTGTAGACTAAAAGGGATTTAAGAGAAATTCCAACCGCGAAATACGGATCTTAGAGTCCAGTTTGAACAAACTAAAAA